CCCAGTCGGCATCTCCCTGAGTGCTCACCTCTGGCCTCTTCCTTGCAGGTGACTCCTGTGCCTGTGCTGGCTCCTGCAAGTGCAAAGAGTGCAAATGCGCGTCCTGTAAGAAGAGTGAGTGGGGCCATCCCTGGGAACTTGGGACTGGGCTGAGGTTGGGTGGGACCTTGAGCTGGTTCTGAGTCTGTGTTTCTGCAAACTGGCTTTCCTTGGTGCCTGTTGACCCCGCGATTCCCTCTGCAGACCTTCTGCTCTGAGCTCAGCTGGGGAAGGGCAGCCTCTTGCTATTGGGACACAAGCCCCAAGGTTACCAGATATCTGAGAACAGAGCAGAGCCCTCCCAAAGTGAGGGTCCTCTAAGGCTTGTGCCAGGCCTCTGCTGGGCGGGGAGGCGCCTGGTCAAGTCTGCTCTGACCATTCTTTGTCCCCCTTCTTCCCAGGCTGCTGCTCCTGCTGCCCCGTGGGCTGTGCCAAGTGTGCCCAGGGCTGTGTCTGCAAAGAGGCATCAGACAAGTGCAGCTGCTGTGCCTGATGTCGGGAGACCCTGATCCCAGGTGGAGGTGGAGCAAGGTGTATAAATGTGTGTTTTTTTAGTACAATCCTGACGCCTTTGTTACATTTATTTTTCTATAAAATATGTGAATTATAATAAAAGTTTTTTTGACTTGATTCTAACTCTGATTTCCTTTGTGTGCCTTGGAAATAAGGGACTGGGTTGAAGGATTGAACTGGGATTGCTGAGACCTGGGCCCTGGGTGCAGGGGGAACATGGACAAGAAATGTGAGACCAGAGGGGCGGAGAGCAAAGGTCACATGTGAGGTCTGTCCTCTGCACACAACTCCCTCCTGCACTCCTGGGCTGCACCCAATCTAGGGATGTGAGCACTAGGCTGAGGTTGCACACAGGCTCCCTCTGGGAAAGGTGAGGATCCATGGAGCGGGGCTTAGGGACTGGATACTGTGACCACTGGGGACTAGGATTCCAGAATGGAACAACATGAGTGTCTTCATGCAAGCCAGGTTCTCTCTCTGAGCATCATCTATAAATTCAGATGTCATGGGGGAGACGGGAGACATACAAGATCACCATCAGCTCTTGTCAGCAGCTCCATCTCTCATTTTCATTTTCTGATTTTCTGGTCCAGCTTTACTTCCTTACTGTATTGTAGGCCTGAACATGACTACATAGTCTGGTGCAGTGAAACACACCTGTAATCTCGCACTTTGGGAGGCCCAGGCAAGAGAATAACCTGTGAGGGGTCAAGACCAGTCTGGGCAACGTGACAAAATCTCGTATCTTCAATAGAGTAAAAAAAAAAAAAATTATGAGCCAGGTGTGGTGGCGTGCATCTGTGATTCCAGCTACCTGGATGGCTGAGGGTGAAGGATCACCTAAGAAGAGCACATTGAGGATGTGGTGGCTGTGAGCATGCCACTGTACTCTTGCCTGGGCAATAGAGAGAGTATTTTTTTAAAAAATGACACAGGAGGCAGAGTCCAACTCCTTAGCTTCTTTTTTTGTTGTTGTTGGAGTCTCACTTCATCGCCCAGGTTGGAGATCAGTGGCACACTCACAGTCACCCTCCCCAGTTGTCAACCTGCAGGACTCCATGATCCTTCTGCCTCAGCCTTCCAAGTAGCCAGAACTATAGGCGTGTGCTAACATGCCTGGCCAATTTTTGATTATTTGTAGAGATGAGGTCTTGCCAAGTTGCCCGGGCTGGTCTCAAACCTGCAGGCTCAGGCAATCCACTTGCCTCAGCCTCCCAAAGTGCTGGGATTACAGGCTGAGCCAGCAAACACGGCCTCCTAGGTTTTTAAATCCTACAAGGGCTTCTTAAACTAGGAACAGTCCCTATTTTCTATCTATTACAGATCTAAACCATGATAAATGAAATAATATTAATTGTGAAGGTCACAATCAAGCACAAAATACAAAATCCACTTTTAGATTCAGCAAAAATAACTTAATTATGTGAAGAAATTGCAGAAAAATTAAAGCACAAATTGATGATGATGTGCACTGCACACTGGAAACAGCAGACACCCCCCAGTGTGTGGACCTCACATGTCTTTGGTAGCACAGGCCAGGGCATCTCTACAAAGAACAAAAAGGCTTGACCTGCCCAATGCCACTGACAGGACACTCTCTGGCCCTGAGAGCTTTCTGTTGTAACTTGGCTGTAAATTTTTGGTCGTCACCCCAAGTCAGGCTTAATTTTCTCCTCTGTCCCTTTTCCAGCTCTTGCCTACTTCAAACTACTAAAGTGACTGAGGATTTGAAAGAAATTGCCCTCCAGATAAAATGTACATGATCATGGGTTCCAGTGAAGTATTTCATGTCTGCCCAAGCAGGGCACATGGTGGAGGATTGGGTGGAGTTCAGCAGGAAAGAATGATGCCTTGGATGGCCAATGAATGCCAAATGTTAGTTCCCCTGGTTATGTGTTGAGGAAGTATTATTAAATGTTCATCAAAGAGAAAGATGAGTCTCATAGCCTAGAAGTCAGGACCACACTTCCACTGCTTCCTTGTAAAGGGGAGAGTTCAGAAGGCATCCTGTGCCAAGCGCATGGTCTTTGGTGGCAGGCTGCCGTTTTTCACAGCCAACTTCAGCTCTTACTGGCTATGTGACTTGCACACGTAACTCAACTTCTCTGAGCTTCCATTTCCTCATTTACAGAAAGAAGATTATATCTCAGTGTGGGGGTTAAAAGAGAGAATGGGCTGGCTTATTGCTCGGGTTTAATAAACTCTGATAATCATGCTCATTCTCGCTACACTGGCTTGCTTGGAGAATGAGTCCAGTGACATCCCAGTGAGCTCCCAGAAAGAAAGACATTGAGGTCAGGAAACATTGCTTGGCAGTGTGTGCTGGAAGTGGGATTGCAGCCTGACTGACTCAGTGCCAGGAGGAGTGTGAGGGTGCAGAATGTCCTCTTCCATGAGACGCTGCCCAGCACTGGAAGAGACATAAGTCTTTCCCACCATTCATGTCAGCAGATCTCATGAATTCCAGTCACAGGCCTCAAACTAGGACAGCAAATATGTCGAGGCTGGAGTGCTTGTGTTGTCTGCCATAGGAGTTAAGCAACTTGCCCAAGGTCACACAGCTCCAAAGTAAACGGACGAATTAACTTGTAATATACTTGGGCTGTCACTTTGGCCTCAGCTGGCAGCTCATGGTGTCACTGGAGGCTAAACCCTACCTATGTCAGGTCAAAGCTATCAGGGCCTTTGTTGATGGATCAGTTTTGCTCTTGGTTTGAGAAAAAGGACCTGGGGCCTAGAGTGGTCACAGTTATGCAGAGGAATCTGTCTGCTAACTTAGTGCTCCTCCCAGTGGAGTTACTTTCAATGCCCTCATATCCCACCTGACTTGGTGGCACAGGGTAGTGGGTGAGTACATATAGATGTAGTCAGCAATCATGAATTCACATCCCACCTCTGTCACTTTTAGCTGCATGTCACAATCTCTCTATAGCTCAATGGCATAATAACAGCTTCTGGCTTGTAGGATCTAATGATTTGATCATGTTAGTAACTGAGAAGGGTGCCTGGGAAGTGGTGAGAACATATTAGCTATTGCCTTTCAGTCATTTTACATAACAAATTGATTATTTACTTACAGACCAAGCATCCAGGCCTGTTGTGCTTAGCTGTGTCTCCAGGTTCCACGTGAACATGTGGACCTGTGGTCAAAGAGAATATTTACTCTTCCTACAAAACTGCTGTCAACCCTCGGGTAATAAAGCAATGAGCAAGATTTTGTGCCTCATGTCAGATACAGAATGACTACTGTTTCTACTATCACCTGCACATTTTATTTAACATTTTTCCTTAAAATGATTACTATATTCTGAAATATATTTCGATTGAAAGGAAACTTTTGTCCTTTTAGGGAGTGAGGCAGGAGGATTGATTGAGGCCAAGAGTGACACTGCCTTTACCGAAAAAAATTTTTTTTTCATAAGCTGGGCATGGAGGTCAACAATTGTACTCCCAACTGCTGGGGAGGCTTAAGTAGGAGGCTCGCTTGAGTCCAGGAATTCAAAGATCCCTTGAGCTATGATCATGCCACTTCATTCTAGCCTGTCACTGAGCAAGATGTCAGAAAGGAAAGAAAGAAAGAAAGAAAAATAGAGAGGAAGGAAAAAGGAAGGAAGGAAGGAAGAAAGAAAGGAGGGAGGGAGTCAGGCAAACACTTGACCACCACTGAAAATGAAAATCAGTCTTGTTCCAATTTTCAGTCAGAAAATTATGTATGTGTGTATATGTAAATATATATATATACATGATGTATATGTCTAATCCTTCATGTCTCCCCATGCTGTGGGGAATATGCAAGTAGGACCCAGACAAATGAGCCCAACATTGCCTCAGACAGAAGGATGCAAAGAAGAGAGGCCTTCAGAGTTGACTGTGCTGCTGTGAACAGAAGGAACCAGAGGGAGGACACTGGTGGGAGTGTGGACTCCAGTGCTGAGCTGGGAGAAGGGGGAAGCCAAGGTCACAACCCAGGTCTGTCCTTTGCCAAAGACTCCCTCCTGCCCTCCCAGGCTCAGGTCAATCCAGGGACATAAGCGATAGGCGGGCGTTGCACAGGGACCAAGAAAAAGCCAAGGACAGTGGGTGGGGATAGGGTTGGCTGCCATGAGCACCAGGGAGTGGGTTCCTGGAACCCCGAGTGTGGCGGTGGCCGGTGTGGAAGAAGGAAACCCTCGGGCTCACAGCTTGGCACTCCCCATGGCAGCCCATAGGCCTCCCCCCTCACGGTACCACCAAGAGGCACTCAGAGACACTGTGCCCAGCCAGCTCACTGCACAGAGCCAGGACAGGGACCAGGATGGCACCCAGGTGCAACGGGATGGGCAGGGCCACTGTGTCTGCCACCCAAACTGACTATAAAGGGAGTGGCCTCCTCCTGGGCTCCACCAGTTTCCCAGCAGCCTTCTACCTCTCCCCTTTCGCTTGGAACTTCAGCCTAGCCTAGGATCAACATGGACCCCAACTGCTCCTGCGCCACAGGAAAGGGAAGCCCGGCTCTGTGCCTTGGGATGCCCATTTCCCTGGCACAGCAGAGTGTCCCTGGGTTTCAGAAGACACATTTTGAGTTCAGGCTTCCTTTATTTCGTCCAGGGCTGGATTTAAGGCTAAGTCCTGGGAGCACTTCCCTTCTCCCTCGGCCTGTGTGACAGAGTTGAGGGTTCTGAGGCTCAAGGCTGTTCTGCTTAATGTCACCCACTTTTGGGGGGAGCGTCTGTCTGGCCCCCGTACCCTTTCCAGGCAGGCTCTAAGCAGCCAGGATGCCTGGAAGGCTTGGGGTATTGGCTCTTCCAGTTCAGGACAGGAGATCTTACCACTAGGCCCGTCCTCCTGTGCTGTGTCTAGAGCCTGAAACCCTCCTGGTGGGGTAAAGCAGGAGAGCGCTTGTCCTTCCCAGCACAAGGGGAGAGGGCATGGGGCTTCCTCTGCCCTAGAGGGACAGGAGCTCGGGGGCTGGCCCTCACAGAGGAGGGGACACTGGAGATGCACTGACCAACTGCTTCCCTGTCTGCAATCCCTTTGCGCTCACTTCTGGCCTTCTCTTCCTTGCAGGTGATGCATGTGTCTGTGCTGGCTCCTGCAAGTGCAAAGAGTGCAAATGCACATCCTGCAAGAAGAGTGAGTGGGGACCTTCCCTGGGAACCCTGGGGCTGTGGTTGGGAGGAATTCAGAGCTGGTTCTGAGTCTTGTCTGCTGGGAAAGGCCTTCCTTTGTCCCTGTTGGCCACGCCATTCCTTCTCCTGACTTTCTGCCCTGAGCTCAACTGTGACTGGGTAGCCTCTTGCTGTTGGAACACAACCCCCAAAAATTCCACCAAGTGTCTCAGTTAGACCCATGCCCTTCTGAACTCAGTTCAGTCCAGGGCTTGTGCCAGTCCTCTGCTGAGCAGGGAGGCGCCTGTTCAAGTCTGCTCTGACCTCCCACTCTCCCCTTTCTTCCCAGGCTGCTACTCCTGTTGCTCCGTGGGCTGTACCAAGTGTGCCCAGGGCTGTGTCTGCAAAGAGTCGTTGGACAAGTGCAGCTTCTGTGCCTGATGTCGGGAGATCCTGATCCCAGGTGGACGTGGAGCAACGTGTATAAACATGGATTTTTTTTTTATAGAATCCTGACCCTTTTGCTACATTTATTTCCTATAAAATATGTGAATGATAATAAAAATTGTTGATTTTCTTCTGACCCTGATTTCCTTTGTGCTTTGGAAATATGGGACTCGGGACCCGTTAAGGCAGTGGTAGGGATTGAACTTGGTGTGAGAGTCCAAGGCTCTGGATGGAATGTGAGCCCCTGACAACCTGAGTACCCTCAGCCAAGCCAGAGTGCCTCCCTGAGCTCCCTCTGGTGTTACATTGGCATCGCATTCTGACAAATCATTTGAGGGAAGGGGGAGACACACAGGATGGTCACACTGTCAGGTCAATGGGGGCACGGAAACTTCTTCATCCCTCACTGTTATTGTCTGATTCCCTGTACAACCTCAGTTCCGCATGGAATTTTAGACCTCAAAGCGATTTTAGGAGGTGGAAGATCCCTCCTCAGTTGCCTCAGTTGTCGATGGGGCTTCTTAAACTCCACATGAAAGGACAACTTTTATTTCTTATTTGTTACAGACCCAAACTTTGGTTAATAAAGTATTAATTATGGAGATCATGAAATCCAACTCAATTACAAAACCTATTTTCAGATTCAACTGGAAAAATTCCATACACACATGAAGACATTTCAAGAAAATTAAAGCTTACAAACTCTGAATATCTGTTCATCGGTGATGTGCATGGAAGACCTGAAACAGCAGGCGGGACCCAGGCACCTCGAGCAGCATAGGCCAGGACATTCCCACATGGAGCTATCTGTCAGTCTTGGCCTGCTCAGTGCCACTGACAGGACACTCGCTGACCCCTGAGAGCTCCCTGTTCTGCCTTGACTCTGAGTGTTTGGAAGTTCCTTCCAAGGTTGGCTGAATTGTTTCTTTTTCAAATTTTGGCCCCCGACTACTTCCCAGCATCAAAGTACTAAGGATTTGAAGGAAATAGTCCAGCATTTTTCCAGCAAGATGACATGTGCATGGTCATGGGTTCCACGTGAAATTCTTCAAGTCTGCCTATGCAGAGGTAATGGCAGCTTCTGCTGTTTGCCGGTGCTTTATTAGGAGGGAGTGAGCCCCTGGATGTCTCATGAATGCTGCCTGTTAGTCCTGTTGGCTATTTATTGAAGAAATGCTATTTGATATTTCGAAGAGGAAGATGAGCCCCGTGGCCTAGAAGGCAGAAGCATGCCTCCCTACACCTTCCCTGTGAAGAGGAAACTTAAGAAGCCTGCCTGTGCCAGGTGGGTGGGTATTGGTGTCAGGCAGGCCTTGTCCAGTACCCACTTCCCCACTTCCTGGCTGTGTGGCCCAGGCAAGTTGCTCAGCTCCCTGGGTCTCCATTTTCTCATCTGTACAAAAACACTATATGTCTATGTATGAATTAAATTAGACCATGACCTGGCTCCTGGCTAGGCCATAATAAATAAACACGATCATGATCACTCTGTCTATATAAAATTTCTTTCTTTCTGTTTTTATTTTTGTGAGTTGGGGTCTTACTCTGTTTCCCAGACTGGAGTGCAGTGGCACAATCATGGTTCATCGCAGTCTAGATCTCCTAGGCTCAAGCAATTCTCTCTTCTCCGCCTTCCAAGTGGCTAGGACTATAATTGCACACCACCATGCCCAGTTTATTTTTAAAATCATTAGTAGTAAAGATGAGGTCTCGCTGTGTTTCCCAGGCTATATTCTTGAAATCCTGGGCTTAAGGAATCCTCTCACTTGACTCCCAAAAGTGCTGGGATTATAGGGATGAGCCACCATGCCCAGCTATATGAACTTCTTAGAGAGAGAATCTTGGTAAGTCCCAGCTGGTTCCAGGAGAAAGGATCATAGGTTTGGAAGCATTGCTCTGGACTGGATGCTGGGATTGAAATTGATGCCAGGCTGGTCCAGTGCCAGGAGGAGTGTGTATGTCCCCCTGTAGAAAGTCCTCTTATAGTGACATACTGCCCAGCATTGGAACACATGTGAAAACCTCTCTCATGCTTCATGTCATTTGATCTTCACATGGTCTCAAGAATGACAGTCACATGCCTCATGACTGGGACATCTCATATGCATGGGCTGAAGTGCCTTGCTGTCTTCCAGAGCAGCTAAACAACCTGCCCACTGTCACACACCACAGAAGTAAAGGGATAAATTCACCTATACTGTCTGGCCTGGCATCCTGGTCACAGCTAGCCAATCATTACATATCTGGATGCTAAACCTTGCCTATCTCACTTCAAAGGTACAAAGACCCTCTGATGTGGACCTCCCTCTTGGCTGGAGAGATGGCAACTGACACTCAAAAAGTTCATCGAGGTATATGCAAAGGGGTCTGACTCCCAACCTAGTGCTCGTCTCACTGACATATTTTCAGTCTCCATGCCAGATTTTCTGTGTCCTCACCTTCCATGTGACTTGGGAGCACAGGGTAGTGGTTGAGGATATGATGCTGCAGTCAGCATGCAGGGGCGTAAATCCCACTTCTGTCACTTTTAGTTGCATGACCTAACCTCTTGTGGCTCTGTCTCCTCAAACAAAAAAAGATCATAATAATGGCCACTGGCTTGTGGTATTCAGTGAGTTAATACATAGAAGGAACTTAGAAAGATACCTGGCAAGGTAGAGTGGTCTATGATATAAGCTATTGCTTGTCTAAAGCATCATTATACAAAGGATAGGGGATATTTAGTTACACACAGACAGAGCAGCCAGACCTGGTGTGCTTAGCTGTGTGTCCTGTCCTCTCATCTACCACAAGAACGTGGGACCTGTGGTCCACAGACAGTCATTCACGCTTCCCACAAAATTGCCATCAACGCTCAGGTATAAAGCTATGAGGAAGATTCTTTGCCTCATGTCAGATACAGAGGGTTAGCAGCCATTTCTGCTACCACCTGCACCATATTTTACTCAGTATCTTATATGCAAGTGAATAATATTTTCCTATAAGTGTTTTCAGGAAAAGCCAATTCTGTACCACCTCCCAAAATGAATTCATCCTTATTCCTTCCATAGAAGATAGTCAGAAAATTATATGTGTGTATATATATATGTTATACTCATGGATTGCTTTTGTCAATGGCCATGGTAGAGCTGGTGACTGGCTGTTTAAAAGACATCCAGCAATAGGGAATGGTTGAAGAAATACTTTATCATGGATGCTCTTTCCCTTGAGAAACTGACTAAATTCACGTGTGACAACTTTTTAGCCCTGTGACAAGGAGCACAGAACTTGAACTCTCTGTTGTAGTTCTTCCATGAGTAAAACGGGTTTGTTAACAGTATTTCCCTTTTGATGGGAGGTTCACAGAACGAATGTGATTAAAAAGGGACTGGCACAGACTGAATGTTATGCGATAGTCAGTCATGCTTTTCAATTTTAATTATCGCTCCAGACGTTGTTTCAGTCTATTACCCATGCTGGACCTCAACTGTAGCTGTGACTACAGGTTTTGGCTACTGCATCCTGTTTGCTGTCTTATTTAAGGCAGGGTCTGTATGTCACCCCTCCTCTGAGGCACCCCACATTGCAGCACTACTGTTCATGAGTGGCTGAATCAGCTCTGCTGGGGGAGATCTCGGTGGGTTTTAGGAAAGTACAGTCAGGACAGGAATGCCCACACACCCAGCCAGGAATGAGAGAGGAAGGGAGTGAGGCAGAGCCCTGTGTCTTGCACATTGCTGTGTCAAGGGGAAATGTGTGTGACGAACTGCAGTGGGGACAGAGACCGGCAATGCGGGACTCTGAAGGTCACGTCCTCCCCCTGATTTCTTTGCACACAACTCCCTCCTCTGCTCCCCAGCTCCTATAGACCAGGGCGCTGAACACGAGTTGGGGTTGCACATGGCACCTGAGAAAGGCAAAGTTGAGGACAGCTGCGGGGAGGGCGTGAGGAGATGACAGGATCCCAGGGTTCCTGGAACGCCCAGGGTGTGTGTTGTTGCAATCTCTGGGGATTGGGAAGGGCCAGCAGGACTAGGCATCGCCATGCACCACGGGCACACAGTCCCGTCCTCCTCAGCACAGCCAAAGGTTGCCCTAGTGGTGTGCACTAAGCAGTGCTCAGAGACCCTGATGCTGGCCACCCACTGCTCCCAGCCTAGCCAGAGACCTTGGTGGCATCTGCTCCACATTGCAAGTGCAATGGCCTGAGCTGGTCCTCAGTGCCCGGCTCCCTCCCTTGACTACAAAGGGAGCAGCCACCTCATGGGCTCCACCAACCTCTTACCTGCCTTCTGTCTCTTCCCTCTCCCTGGATCTCTATCCTGTCTGGGCTCGACACGGACCCCAGCTGCTCCTGCGTTGCTGGTAATGAATGTCTGGTTTCTGAGCCGTTAGATCATCTACTTCTGGCCACTGGATAGATGTCCTTAGGAATGGAAGTGTCCTTTTGCATTCTGACAGAAGGAAAGTTTTTAGTGCTTTTCTGTTCTAGTTCTAGTGCTTTCCTGTTGCCAAGCACTTCCATCACCCTAGGAATTTAACATTCTCCCCTCATCTACCATATTATGGGCAAGAGCCCTCAGGCATATGACTGTCCTGTTATGTTACCTAGGTAGTCTAGGGCTGCTAGGTGCAGTCCTGATGCTCTGTCCAGTATTTGAGTTGCCTGAGCTGCATGGGAGACTGGAGACATGGTTTTTTCAGGATTCAGGATGAGAAACCATCCTAGCCTGAAGCGGAAGGTGAAGGTAGATCTCACTGTGCCCCAAGGTCTATCCTGGCAATCAGATAGGAGCATTTATTGACTGATTGCTACCCTGTCTGCACCTCCCTGAGTGCTCACCTCTGGTCCTCTCTTCCTTACAGGTGGCTCCTGCGCCTGTGCTGGCTCTTGCAAGTGTAAAGAGTGCAGATTCACGCCCTGCAAGAAGAGTGAGTGGGGACCATCCCTGGGAACCCAGGGCTGAGTTTGGGAGGGCCCCTGAGCTTGTTCTGAGTCTGTGTTTCTGGTACAGGCCTTCTTTGCTCTTGTTGGCCATCCCATTCTCTCTCCAGGCTTTCTGTCCTGAGCTCAGCTGGGGCAGGATGGCCTCTTGCTATTGGGACATAAGCCTCTAAGTTCCCACCTTTGACCGCAGAACAGAGTCATGCCCTCCTGAACTGTTGTGCAAGGCCTCCGCTGGGCAGTGAGGTGCCTGGTCACATCTGCTCTGACTTCCCGCTCTCCCCTTTCTTCCCACGCTGCTGCTCCTGCTGCCCCGTGGGCTATGCCAAGTGTGCCCAGGGCTGTGTCTGCACAGAGGCATCGGGCAAGTGCAGCTGCTGGGCCTGATGTTGGGAGACCCTGATTGCAGGTAGAGGTGGAGCAGCGTGTATAAACCTGGATTTTTTAAAATGCAACCCTGACCCTTTTGCTATATTTAATTTCTGTAAAATATGTGGATTGTGCCTGTTGCCGTGGTTCATGCCAGTGATCCCAGCACTTTGGAAGGGGGAGATGAGTGAATTGCTTGAGCCCTGGGGTTTGAGACCAGACTGGGCAACTTGACGAGACCTCGTCTCCACAGTAAATCAAAACCACACGCCTGTGGTTATAGCTACTTGGAATGCTGAGGCAGAAGAATAGCCTGAGCCCTGTAGGCTGAAGTTGCTTTGGTCGTGAGCATGTGACTGCACCTGAGCCTGGGCAACAGAGACCCTGACTCAAAAAAAAAAATGTGAATTACAATATAAATGTTTTTGACTTGATTCTGATTTCCTTTTTGTGCCTGGGAAAGATGGGCCTATAGTGGGGGATTGAACTAGGAGTGAGAGACCTGTGCCCCGGTTTTACCGGACTGTGGTAGGAACATGGACAAGACGTGAGGGGCAGGAGGGTGATGGAAAGCAAAGGTGCCATCCGAGTTCTGTCCTTTGCACACAACTCCCTCCTGTGCTCCCCAGTTCCACCTGATCTTGGGATCTCGGGAGGTAAGCGCTAGGTGGGGGTTGCACACGAGCTCCCTCCAGGATAGGTATGGCCCCATGCAGAGGGGATACCATGGCCACTGGGCACTAGAATCCCAGAATGGAGCAACCTGAGTACCTTCAGCAAGCCAGGTTATCTCTCTGAACAACCATTCACATAAGTTCAGATCACATGGAAGAGGCAGGAGACACACACAAGATTGCACATGAAATATGCACATGAAATATGGCAAAAAAGCATCACCATCTCTCATGTTCATTTTCTGATTTCCCAGTCCCAACTTTACTTCTTTCACTGTACTGTTGACTTGAAAGTGACTACATGACTGGGCGCAGTGACTTGGGCCTATTACCCCAGCACTTTAGCAGGCAAAAATGAGAGGATTGTCTAAACCCAGGGTTTCAAGACCAGCCTGGGCAACATGGAAGACCTACTTCCTACAATAAATAAATAGTAGTCAGGTTGGTGGTACACGCCTGTGGTTCCAGCTATTTGGAAGGCTGAGCTGAAAGGATCACCTGAGCCCAGGAGGTCGAGGTTGCAGTGACTGTCAGCATGTCACTGCACTCTAGCCTGGGCAATAGTGAGACTCTGATTCAAAAAAAAACAAAAGGGCCGGGCTCGGTGGCTCAGCCTGTAATCCAGAGCTTTGGGAGGCTGAGGTAAGCGGATTGCCTAAGCCCGCGGGTTCAAGACCCACCTGGGCAACTTGGTGAGACCTCATCTCTACAATAAAATCAAAAAACTAGCCGGGTATGATAGCGTGTGCCTGTAGTTCCAACTACTTGGAAGGCTGAGGCGGAAGGATCCCTGGAGCCCAGCAGGTCAAGGCTGCAGTGGCCGGGAGCAGCCACTGTACTCCAGTCTGGGCGACAGAGTGAGACTCCAACTCAAAAAAAAAAAAGAATATTGGTTCTCCCCTCACCAATTTACTTCTCACCATTGTGTTGAAAGATGTCCCCACTACGCCTGCCAAGTGGGACAGGCAGTAATACATAATAAATCTTCTATAAAAACTGCTTTACTCAAAGTTCACTGATTTAAATATTAGAAATATAAGACAATACCCTCACAGCAACTTCTAGCTGGTGTTTGACCAAGAAACTGGGTAATTCGTCTAGCCAAGGTGACATAAAATTAATCATCACTAATGTTTAAATGAAAAGCAAACTCTTTATCAATGCTGAAACTGAAAATGAGTCATACGTCCCGACATAGATTTCTCTATGGAATATTTTGTCCATATGAGGGGAACCAAACAAAATCTGGAATTTCTCTATACAAAATTTGATTTATTCTTACATGTTTAAACTTCAGCCATCTTCAAAGTACTCTCCGTTTGATGCAATACGCCTATCAAGACGCTTTTACCCCTGCTCAAAAACAGTTCATTGAGCTCGCCAGTTGTGATGCTTTTGAGTGCTTCTGTAGTTTTCCATTTCACCTCTTCCTCACGGGCAAAACTTTTCCCTTTGAAGACATTTTTCATCGTGGGAAACACAAAAATATCGCTCAGGGAGAGATCAGGTGAATGGGGAGGGTGGGGCCCGGGGGCCATGCCAATTTTGGTCAAAAACTGATTAACACTCAGCACAGTGTGGGTATGTGTGCATGCAAAACTCCCATCTCAAAATAGGGAAACACATGGAAAGAATCTTCAAAAAAACCCAAAACAATACAAAAAACAAATACTTAAGCTGAACCCAGCCTCTCAACACAAAGCTAGCTGGTACTCGGATGCTGATGGGTCTTTGAATATTTACCTAGCAGGGGGAAGCCTACACCACAAGGCACCCGTCCTCCAAAAGATAATTCTGGGTTTTGTGGGGTCCCCCTTCATATATATATGTACATTTCCCTCTCCACCACTTTTTAAGTTGTCCAGATTGAACCCAAAGTTTGCTCCTGTTTTTAAATTTTCAGGCCAAGGACAGTAGCTTACACGGAATCCCAGGCCTTTTGGAGGCCAAGTTAGGAAACTGCTTTAGCCCAGGAACTTGAGACCAACTTAGGAAACATAGAGGGAATCCTCTCCAAATTAACAAATCATTAAGCCGGGAGTGATGTCTCATACCTGTAATGGCAGTACTTTGGGAGGCCAGGGTGAGAGCATTGCCTAAACCCACAGGTTTGCGACCAGCCTGGGCAACAGGGTGGGACCTCATCTCTACAATAAATTAAAAAATTAGCCGGTGTGGTGGCTCATGCCTTTAATTCCAGCTACTTGGAAGGCTGAGGCAAATGGATCTCTGGATCCCAGCAGGTCGACGCTGGGGTGGCCAGGAGCATGCCACTACACTCCAGACTGGGCAATGGAGTGAGACTCCAACTCAAAAACAATAAATAAATAAACAAATAAAGAATTTTTAAAAAAATTCGAGCACTACTATGATGTTGAAAACATATCTGGGCCCAAAGAAACCTTTATGTTGTCCCTCCTTCTCTTCGGAAACAGGCTTTCAGATCCAGTGGCACCACTTCCTAGCATTGTAACCTTCGGCAAGTGACTTAAATGACTTGTGCCTTGGTTTTCCGTGAAAAAATGAGTTAATAGCAGCATTTCCCTTTCATTGTTCTTGGGAGAGTTCAAAGAACCAAAATGATTACACCAGGACTGACACAGACCTTCGTGTACCAGGAATACTGGAAGGTAAATAACCACTTTCCTTGCTTTCTTATTTCCCGAAGGGTCTGCCTGTCACCTAGCATCATCCCTGGATCCAGCCTCCCACATTTTCAGGACTGGATCTGGAGTGGCGTGAGCTGGCTGGTGGGAGAGCCTGGAGGATCTTATGCAAAGGAGGCCCCAACAAACATGCCTGTGTGTACTCCCCTCAGGTCTGTAGGGTTGAGGAAGGCAGAACTCTGTGTCCACCCAGGGACTGCTTACGGGTGAGATGGCATGGATCGGGGAGATGACAAGGACAGGCAGAGGCTGGGCAGGCAAGGGTCCCATCCAGGTCTGTCCTCTGCACATGACTCCCTTGTGTGCTCCCTGGCTCGGGCCGATCTGGGGATGTGAGGACTAGGCGGGGCTTGCACACGGACCTGGGAAGAGCTAAGGACAGCAAGCTGGGCTGGGGTTGGCGGCCATGAGCACCGGGGACTGGGTTCCTGGAAGGCTCAAGGACGCCGCGCACGTCCGGGCGTGCAGTCCCGCCCTCCCCAGGGCAGCCAGGGCGGGGTGGCCCCCGCGCTGTGCGCAGCCAGCGGTGCTCAGAGCCCCTGCGCCCTGCTCGCTGGATGCACACAGCCGGGCCACGACCTCAGGTGGCTAGCACAGGGCGGGACAGGTGCAAAGACGGGGACGTGGTCTCAGCGCCCGGCTTACTCCCAGACTCTAAAGCTAGTGGCTGCCTCCTGGGCTCCAGCAGCCTCCCACGTGCCCCGCTCCCTCTTTCCTCTGGCCTGGAACTGCCGCCTCGCCAGGGGTCGACATGGACCCCAACTGCTCCTGCGCCACTGGTAAGGGACGCCCGGCTCTGCACCTTGGGATGCCCATTTCCCAGACCCAGAAGAGAGTGTCCCTGGGTTTCAGGAAGCGCATTTGGACTTCTGGGCTCCTGTACTTGGTCCAGGACTGGATTCCTGGCCAAGTCCTGGCTTCTAGGACAGAGTTGACTGTTCAGAGACTCAAGGCTGTCCTGCTGAATGTCCCTCAATTGTTCTGGGGACTCCTCTCTGACCCCAGCACGCCTTCCAGGCTGAGAAGGTGGGACATTGCTTCTTCTGGTTGAAGACAGGAGGTCCTGGGCCCGGTCCCTGTCTTGCTGGGCAGTGTCAGCAGCCTGGGAGCTCCTGGTGGGCTAAACCAAGAGGACACTGGCCTTTTCCAGCAGGAGGGGAGAGGGGATGGGACTTCTGCCCTAAGCGGGACCAGCGCGCTGGAGCTGGTCCATACAGAGGAGGGAGCACTGGAGACTCACTGACAGACTGCTGCCCTGTCTGCAACTTCTTTGGCGCTCTCTTCTGGCCTTCTCTTCTATGCAGGTGACTCCTGCACCTGCGCTGGCTCCTGCAAGTGCGAAGAGTGCAGATGCACATCCCGCAAGAAGAGTGAGTTGGGGCCATCCCTGGGAACCCCCGGGGTTGAGGTTGGGAGAGACCCCGAGCTGGTTCTGTGTCTGCTTCTGGGAACCGGCCTTCCTCTGTCCCTGTTGGCCACACCATTCCCTCTCCAGGCTTTCTGTCCTGAGCTCAGCTGGGGTAGGGCAGCCTCTTGCTTGGACACAAGCCTCCAAGGTCCCACCTATTGTCTCAGAACAGAGCCATGCCCTCCCAAACCATCGGTCCTCTGGGGCTTGTGCCAGGCCTCTGCTGGGCAGGGAGGCCTCCCCCTCTCCCCTTTCTTCCCAGGCTGCTACTCCTGTTGTCCTGTGGGCTGTGCCAAGTGTGCCCAGGCCTGTGTCTGCAAAGAGGCATTGGACAAGTGCAGCTGCTGCGCCTGATGTCAGGAGACCCTAACCCCAGGTTGAGGTGGACTAACGAGTATAAACCTGGATTTTTTTTTAATGCAATCCTGACCCTTTTGCTACATTTAATTTCTATAAAATATGTGGATTATGCCGGGGATGGTGGCTCACGCCTGTGAGCACTTTTGGAGGGTGAGATGAGAGGACTGCCTGAGCCCAGGGGTTTGAGACCAGACTGAGCAACATGGCAAGACCTCGTCTCTACAGCAAATCAAAAATTAGCTGGGCGTGGTGATGTGTGCCTGTGGTTCCAGCTACTTGGAAGGCTGAGGCCGAAGAATTACCCGAGCCTACCAGTCCGAGGCTGCCATGGCAATGAGTGTGCCACTGCATCCTAGCCTGGGTGACAGAGTGAGACTCCGACTCGAAAAAAAAATATGTGAATTACAATAAAAAGGTTTTTTGACTTGATTCTGAATCTGATTTTCTTTGTGTGCCTTGGAAAGTTGGGACTGCGGTGGGGTGTCAAACTGGGAGTCAGAGACCTGGCCCCCAGATGGACCGGATTGGTGGGAGCATGGACAAGATATGCGGGGCAGGAGTGTGGTGGAGAGCAAAGGTGCCATCCAAGTTCTGTCCTTTGTACACAACTCCCTCCTGCACTCCCCACCTCCACCTGATTGGGGATCTAAGGAGTTGAGCACTAAGCAGGCTCCCTCCAGGATAGGTGTGGCACCATGAAGCGGGGCTGGGGGACAGGAAACCATGGCCACTGGGCACTAGAATCCCAGAATGGAGCCATCTGAGTGTCTTCAGCAAGCCAGGTTATCTCTCTGAGCATCCATTCACGTAAGTTCAGATCACATGGAAGAGGCGGGAGACACACAAGATTGCCATGAGCTCATGTGACATATGGCAAAAAAGTGTCACCATCTCTCATTTTTCTGATTTCCCAGTCCAACTTTACTTCCTTCACTGTACTATTAACTTGAAAGTGACTGCATCACTAGGAGCAGTGGCTCACGCCTGTAACCCCAGCACTTTGGGAGGCAGAAATGCGAAGACTGCCTAAACTCAGGGGTTGGAGACCAGCCTGGGCATCGTGGAAGACCTCCTTTCTAAATGAATAAATAAATAGTAGCTGGGTGTGGTGGTGCGTGCCTGTGGTTCCAGCTATTTGGAATTCTGAACTGGAAGGATCACCTGAACCAAGCAGGTCGAGGCTACAGTGGCCATCAGCATGTCACTGCATTCCAGCCTTGGCGACAGTTAGTCTCCAACTCAAAAACAAATACATAAATACAAGAATAAATACATAAATAGGTCAGTCACGTTGGCTCATGTCTGTAATCCCATCACTTTGGGAGGCCATATTGAGGGTATTGCCTGAGCCTGTGGGTTCAAGACCAGCCTGGGCAATATGGTGAGACTTTGACTCTACAATAAATCAAAAAATTAGTTGGGCATGATAGTGTGCGCCTGTGGTTCCAGCTACTTGGAAGGCTAAAGCGGATGGATCACTGGAGCCCAGGAGGTCGACATGGGGGGCGGCCATGAGCCTGTCACTGCATTACATTCTGGGCAATGGAGTGAGACTCCAAACAACAACAATAATAAATAATAAACAAACAAATAAAAGTAAACAATTTTTTTAAAATTTCAAGCAATGCCATGGTGTGGAAAACATATCTGGGCAAAAGAAACCTTTATGTTTCCCCCCTTCTCTTGGGAAGCTAACTGGCTTCATACCCAGTGGCACCACTTCCTAGCACTGTAACATTGTGCAAGTGACTTAAATACCTTTATCTCGGTGTTACCGTTTGAGAAATGGGTTAATAACAGTATTTCCCTTGCATTGTTCTTGGGAGAGTTCAAAGAACTAAAATAATTAAATGGGGACTGACACAGATCGTCATGTATCTGGAATATTGGAAGATAAGTAACCACTTTCCTTTCTTTTCATTTCAGACATGGTCTGCCTATTACTAGCATCATCCCTGCCTTGGGGCCTCTCACATTTTTCAGGACTAGATCCGGAGTGGGGTCTGCTGGCTGGTGGGAAAGCCTGGAGAATCTTATGCGAAGGAGGCCCCAACCAACATGGCTGTGTATTCCTTCAGGCATGGAGGCTGCGGGAGGCAGGACCCTGTGTCCACCCAGAGGCTGTGTACGGGAGACATGGCACAGACCAGGGTGATAGCAAGGACAGGCAGTGACTTGGCAGGCAAAGGTCCCACCCAGTCTGTCTTCTGCACAAGGCTCCGTCATGCATTCCCTGACTTAGGCCTATATAGGATGTGAGCAATAGGCAGGGGTTGATTACGGACTCGGGAAAAGCAAAGGACAGCTAGCGGGGCTGAAGTTAGCTGCCATCAGCACTGGGGACATGGTTCCTGGAACTCTCAAGGATGCCACGCATGTCTGGGAGCACAGCCCTACCTTCCCCAGTGCAGCCAAAGGGACCCCTCCTGCAGTGCTCAAAGAGCAGGACTCAGGGACTCTGCAGCCTGATTGCTCTTTCCTCAGCCCTTCCAGGATCTCTGGTGGCTAGGACTTGTGGAGCAGGTGCCAAGACCAGGGTGGGTCTTCTGCACCCGGCCACCCCACTCCACCCCTTCTCCACTGTAAAGGGAGCTGCTGTCTTCTGGCCTCCACCAGCTTACCACGTGCCCCGCTGCCTCAACCATCTAGCCTGGAACTGCTGTCTCTGCTGGTTCAACATGAATCCCAACTGCTCCTGCTCAGTCTCCATCTTCCTGGGCTGTGTCTGCAGCCTGGGGCCTTCCTGGTGTGGTAAAGCAGGAGAGCCCTTGCCCTTCTCACCAGAAGGGGAGAGGGGATGGGGCTTTTCTGCCCTGAGTGGGACAGGAGCTATGCGGCTGGCCCTTACAAAGGAAGGGGAACTAGAGACTCACCGACCGACTGCTGCCTATCTGCATCTCCCAGAGCGCTCAACTCTGTCCTTCTCATCATCCAGGTGACTCCTGTGCCTGTGCTGCCTCCTGCAAGTGCAAAGAGTGCAAATGCAAGTCCTGCAAGAAAAGTGAGCGGGAGCCTCCCTTGGGAATCCAGGGATGGGATGAGGTTGGGAGGAGTCCCCGAGCTGGTGCAGTGTGTGCTTCTGGGAACTGGCCTTCCTCTGTCCCTATTGGCCACGCCATTCCTTTCCAGGCTTTCTGTCCGGAGCTCAGCTGGGGCAGGGCAGCCTCTTGCTATTGGGACACAAGCCTCCAAGGTCCCACCTATTGTCTCAGAACAGAGCCATGCCCTCTGGAACTATCGGTCCTCCGGGGCTTGTGCTAGCCTCTATTAGGCAAGGAGTCACCTGTTTGAGTTTGCTCTCACCTCCTGCACTCCCCTTTCTTCCCAGGCTGCTGCTCCTGCTGCCCCGTGGGTTGTGCCAAGTATGCCCAGAGCTAGGTCTGCAAAGGGGCATCAGACAAGTGCATCTGCTATGTGTGATGTCGGCCGACCCTGATCCCAGGTGAAGGTGGAGCAATGTGTATAAACCTGGATTTTTTTTTCATACATTCCTGACCCTTTGCTACATTTTTAAAAAGTGAAACACATGAATGATAATAAAATTTATTGAATTTTTTCTGACTCTTTTCCTTTTTGCCTTGGAAATATGGGACTTGGACCCTTTAAGACAGGAGTAGGGATTGAACTGGGTGTGAGAGTCTGAGGTTCTGGATGGAATGTGAGTCCCTGACAACCTAGTGCCCTAGGCAGGCCAGGCTGCCTCCCTGAGTTTCCTCTGGTGTACACTGGCATCGCATCGTGACACGTCATATGAGGGAAGGGACAGACGCACAGGATGGCCACATTATCGAATCAAATATGGCACGGCATCTTCTCCACCCCTCATTATCATTCTCTGATTTTCCTTGCCCATCTTCAGTTTCTCATGGAATTTTATGCTTCAATGCGCTTATATAGTATTTTCCCAGCAAGATTTGAAATGTATGTAGTCACGGGATCCAGGTGAAGTATTTTAAGTCTGTCACGGCAGGGGTGATGGTGGCATCTGCAGTTTGGTGGGTATGGAGGTGCTTTATTTAAAAAGAAGTGAGGCCCTGGGTTACTCATCAATGCTACCTTTTAGTCCTGCTGGGGAATGTTGTTTGATGTTTCAAAGAGGAAGAGGAGCCTCGTGGCCTAGAAGTCCATGGGGGGAAGCCAAGAAGTGCCTCCCCTTGCTGCTTCCCTGTGAAGAGGAGACATGAGAAGGCTGCCTGTGTCTAGCACCCACTTCCCAACTTACTGGCTATGTGGCCCAGGCAAGTTGCTCAGCTCCCTGGGTCTCTATCTCCTCATTTGTACAAATAAAACAGTACATCTGTGTATGGATTAAATTAGACCATGGCCTGGCTCCTGGCTGGGCCTTAATAAACAAACACCATCATGATGACTCTGTCTTTGGCGACTGGGTCTCACTCTGTTGCCCAGACTGGAGTGCATTGGCACAATCATGGCTCACAGCCACCTTGACCTTCTAGGTTCATGCAATCCTCCCTCCTCAGCCTCCCATTAGCTGGGGCTATAAGTATACACCACCACACCCAGGTCATTTTTCTTTTAGTAAAGTTGAGGTCTCACTATGTTGCCCAGGCTTCTCGAACTCCTGGGCTCAAGCAATCCTCTCACTTTGGCTTCCCAAATGACTGTAATTATAGTTGCCAACCCAGCTATATGAACTTCTTAGTGAGAGAATCTTGGTAAGTCCCAACTAGTTCCTGGAGAAGGCTCATAGGACAGGAAGCATTGCTCTGGAATGGTGTTGAGAATGAGATTGCAACCAGGCTGAGCCAGTGCCAAGAAGAGTGTGGATGTCCTCCTGTAGAAAACTCTCTTCAGTGACACACTACTCAGCATTGGAACACATGTGAAAGACTTTCCCACCCTTCACGTCATTTAGTCTTCACAGTCTCATGAATGATTGTCACAGCCTCATGAAAGGAACATCACATATGCATGACTGAGATGCTTATGTTGTCTTCCAGTGTAGTTAAACCTCCTGCGCAAAGTCACAGAGCACAGAAGTAAAGGGATAAATCAACCTCTACTACATCTGGCCTGTCCCCTTGACCTCATCCCTGGATTCTAAACCCTGCCTATCCCAATCCAAAGGTATAAAGGCCCTTTGGAATGGACCAATTTTGTTCTTGGCTTGAGAGATGGCAACTGACTCCCAGAAAGGTTACTGAGCTGCATGTAAAGGGGTCTGACTGCCAGCTCTGTGCTCTTGCCACTGCTGCCTCCATGCCAGATTTTCAGCGTCCTCACCTTCCACATGACTTGCGGTCACAGGGTGGCGAGTAACGACATGATGCAGCCAGCAAGCAGGGGTGCAAATCCCACCCCTGTCACTTTTAGCTGTGCCACGCAACCTCTTGTGGCTCCATCTCCTCAACTGTACAAGGAGCATAATAACGGTCACTGGCTTGGGGGATTACATGAGCTAATACACAGAAGGAACTTAGAAAGATACCTGGCAAGGGGGAGTGGCCTATGATATAAGCTATTGCTTTTTAAACCATCATTTTACAAAGCCTAGGGGATATTTACTTACACACAGACAGAGCAGCCAGGCCTGGTGTGCTTAGCCGTGTGTCCTGTCCTCTCATCTACCACAAGAACGTGGGACCTGTGGTCCACAGACAGCCAGTCACTCTTCCCACCAAACTGCCATCAATGCTTGAGTTATAAATCTATGAGAAAGACTCTGTGCCTCATGTCAGATACAGACAAATGACTGCCATTTCTGCAAGCACCCTCATAATATTTTACTTAATATTTTGCGTGGAAATGAGTAATATTTTCTTATTTTTATGAGAAGTAATTCTTTATCACAATCCAAAATGAATATCAGCTTTATTCTGTTCATAGAAGATAGCCAGAATATTATATATGTGTGCATCTGTATGTTACCCTCATGGATAACTTATGTCACTGGACGTGGCAGAGCTGGTGACCTCTTGTTTAAAAGACATTCAGCAATAGAGAATCGTTGAAGACAAACTTGGGCCCCAATAGTGGTTTATCATGGACGCTTCTTTCCCTAGAGAGGTTGACTGAATTCACGTCAGTGACAAATTTTTAGCTCTGTGATGAGGAGCTCGGTACTTGAACTCTCCTTGTTGTAGTCCTTCCATGAGTAAAATGGGTTCATAAATAGTATTTTCCTCTAGTATTGTTGGGAGGTTCAAAGAACAAATGTGATTAAAAAGGCACTTCCCTGAACTGTTATGTGACAGTCTGTCTTGGACTTTAATTTTCTTTCCAGACGTTTTTCAGTCTATTACCCATGCTGGACCTCAACTCCTGGTCTCAAGCGATCCTCCTGTCTCAGCCTCCAGAGTAGCTGTGACGACAGGTATGGGCCACTGCACCCAGCTTGCTCTCTTATTTAAGGCAGGGTCTGCATGTCACCCAAGGGACCCCTCTTCTGGGGCACCCCACATTGCAGCACTGCCGACCTGGAGTGGGTGGGCCGGCTCGGCTGGGGGAGACCCAGGATGAATTTAGGAAAGTAGGACTTGGACAGGTATGCCCACACATCCACCCAGGGTGAGAGTGGAAGGGAGCATGGCAGAGCCCTGTGTCTGACATGTTGCTGTGTCCAGGAGAAACATGGCCGATGGACCGCAGTGGGGAGAGTGACAGGTGTTGCGGGACTCCGAGGACACATCCTCCCCCGCCCAGGGCACACAAGTCCCTCCTCTGCTCCCAGCTCCTGCCTGGCTGAGCATGAATTGGGGTTGCACAAGGAACCCAAGAATGGCGCAGCTAGGAGAGCGGCATGAGGATGTCGTGCAGAGACGACGGGATCCCGGGGTTCCCGGAATGCCCAGGGTGGGGGTGACGAGCCTTGGGGTCACCATGCACAACCCCCCCCCACCCAACGCAGCCAAGGGCCGCGACCCGCACTGAGAACAAGTTGCTCTCAGAAGTACTGCGCCCGACCCACCCGCTGCACACAGAAGGGCCCTGAACACTAGGTGGGGTGGGTGCAAATAGCCAGGCATGGGCTCTGCGCCTGGCCCCTTCTCCTGACTATAAAAGGAGCAGCCTCCTCCTGGGCTCCACAAACCTTCCACGTGCTCCGCTGCCTCTTCCCTCTCACATGCAACTCCAGCCTCGCCTGACTCGACATGGACCCCAACTGCTCCTGCAACGCTGGTAAGGGATGCCGGGTTTCTGGGCCTTGACATCATCATCCACCCACTGGACAGAAGTTCTTATGTGTGGTGGTGTCATATTGTGTTCTGGCCGAAGTGAAACCTTTAGTGCATGGTTCTAGTGCTTTCCTGTTGCCAAGTACCTCCTTCACCCTAGAACTTTTGTATTCTCCCCTTATCTACCTTGTCATAGACGAGAGCCCTCAGGCATATGACTGTCCTTCTCCATGTCACCTAGGTAGTCCAGGGCAGCTATATGCAGTCCCAATGCTCTGTCCAACATTTGAGTTGCCTGGGCTTCATGGGAGACCAGGGACATGGCCTTTTCAGGATTCAGGATGAGAAGTCATCCTAACCGGAATCGGGAGGTGAGGATAGACCTCACTGTGCCCCAAGGTCTGTCCTGGCACTCAGCTGGGAGCATTTGTTGACCAACTGCTGCCGGTCTGCATCTCCTGGAGCACTCACCTCTGGCCTTCACTTCCTTGCAGGTGGCTCCTACGCCTGTGCTGTGTCCAGGGAAAAATGGTCGATGGACCATGGTGGGGACAGTGACAGGTGTTGGCTCCTGTGAGTGCAAAGAGTGCAGATGTGTGTCCTGCAAGAAGAGTGAGTGGGGTCCTTCCCTGGGATTCAGGGGCTGAGTCTGAGGATGGAGCCCAGAGTCAACCAGCTTTTCCAGTCCCATCCCCTCAGCATCGGGTTCTGGGTCAGAGCCTGAAAAAATTCAGTGACAGTTGATTCCCAAAGTTCATTACTAAAATGGGAACCTGGAGCCCACTGATATGCCACAGTCCTGCCCCTAGCACTTCAGTGGGTGGTTCTGGGAGCTGGTCTTTCTGCGTCTCAGAGGTCTTGTCTCCACTCCAGCAGATTGAAGCCTTCCTTTTTGGTCTCTGCTCTTTCCTGAGGTGTGAAGCTGCTGGACAGCTTTTTCCTAGGAAGACCCTTACGCCAAAGATCCCCCAGTTGTCTCTTGACCAAGCTGTGCCCTCCAGAACTCAGGGTCCTCTAGGACTGGGGGCAGGGCTTGTGCCAGGCTATAGGTCAGGGAGGTACCTGGTCAAGTCAGCTCTGATCTCTCGATCTCCTTCTTTCCAGGCTGCTGCTCCTGCTGCCCCATGGGCTGTGCCAAGTGTGCCCAGGGCTGTGCCTGCAAAGAGGCATCAGACAAGTGCAGCTGCTGTGCCTCATATCAGAAGGGCTTGAGCCCAGATGGAGAGAAGGACATGTATAAACTTGGTGGTTGTTGTTTTATTATACTATCCTATTCCATTTGCTGCATTTTTTTTCCTAATGATATGTGTGACTGATAATAAAAGTTGCTGATTTATTTTGGCTCTGATTTCTTTTTTGCCCTGGAAACAAGCACTCCATACCCAACAGAGCTTGGCTGAGGGATGACATTAACAGTCCAGAGCCCTGTGTCCTGGTACAACATCCGATCAAGTGACACACTGAGTGCCTTAAGGCAAGCCAGGTTCCTCATTTCAGCATCAGCTCCTCAGCTAGAAATACAAGAGCATTTTCCAGATGATGTAGTGACATGTGTTCTGCCACAGACCTAAGCTTCGGTAAGATAAAATAAAATAAAATATTCAAATGACAAAAACAATGACACAAAATAGAAAAACAATTTTTTATAATAAACAGACACATTTCAATAAATATAAAAAATAAAATAATTGGCAAAGCAAAATAATTACAAATATTAACATTTTTTAGGGTATATATATCAGACTGGAAACAGTTTCCAGCCTGATCCAGTGTGGGGATCACACACCTTCAGCAGTGCCGGTCTGGTCATCCACGTGGCGACCCTCAGTCTCGGTCTGTCCAGCATCACTACTGAGACTCTTCTACCCCTGAGAGCTCAATGTGATCATTGTACACTAAGTCCTTGGAAGTTTCTCTAAAGGCCCAGCAAAAATCTGCCCCTCTTTCAAATTCTAGCCCTTGGTTCTTCAAGCAGAGAAGTGGGTAGCGATGTGGAAGTGCTGAGCATTAACAAGTCAAGATGGAGGACAGAGAAGAATCCAGATTTCCAGATGAAGTATTTGCATCTGCCTATAGAGGCATAAACACATATACTTAAATCTGAGGTGTGGTTGTGTTTGCTGGAAGGATAAGGCCCTGGGTGAAATGCAATGAATGGCAAAGTTCAGTCCCTCTGGCTATTTGTTAAAGAAATTTCTATTCCTTCTTCAATGAGAAAGTGAAGTAGAGACCTAAGAGTCGGGACCATCCTTGCCTGCCAGTGGCCTGTGTGAAGAGAGAGTTTTGGACGGCGGCCTGAGTCAAGGGAATGGGTTTTGGTGTCAGGCAGTCCCGGAGCACAGCACGGTTCACCACTTAATGGTTGTGTGGCCTGGACAAGTGGCTGAACCTCTCTGAGCCTTTGTTTCCTCCTTTGTAGAAAGGAGCTTACATCTCTATGTAGGAATTACATGTGGAAGTGGTATAGCAATTGCATGGACTTAATAAACAGTAGCATTATGCTTGCATGGTCCACATAAACGTCCTGGAGACAGCATTCTGCTAGCTCCCATTAACCACCTTGGGAAAGGTCCATCTGCATGGAGGCGTTACTGTGAATTTAACATCTGGAATCTTGTGGATCCGGTCTCATGGGCATGTAAATGGCCTCTTGCACACAACACTACAGGATAAGATAAGACACTGAGCCAGCATTTGCACAGATGAAAAGTTTTCTTCCTCTGTAAGTCATTACCACCACTGTAAACATAACATACATGGCTGCAATAAAATTAAACATTTCCCTTTTGCATCACTTTTTTTGCTCCTGGGATTGACTCTGATGTTTGTTTTAGTGTAAAGATGTCAAGCAACTAAGAGCTGCTGAAGACATACCATTTAGACCCAAGGTCTTCCACCTTCTTCATAGACCTCTTTCCCTTCAAAGCTGGCTGGATTCAGATCCAGCAGGACCACGTACAAGCCCTCTGATCCTGGACTAGTCACACGTATTCCTTGTGTTGTGGCTGTCTGATTAGTAACACGGGTTCATCAAGAGCATCCCATTTATAATTGTTTTGAGGGTTCAAATAGCCAAAGTGATTAAATGAGGTCTGGCAGGGACTGTGTGCAGTGTGTCAGTCAGGAGCATCAGGGAAAATGATCCCTCCTTTGGGGGCATCCAAAGCTTTGGGAACTGCCCACCCAGTGCCGGTGAGGTAGCTAGGCTGTCGGATGTCCCAAGGAAATTAAAGCAAAAGATGATTAAACATATGTGCAGAAATGCTCTCAGGAGAGGAAATGGAAGAGAGGAAGGCAGAACCCTGTGCCTGCCTTGTGGCTGGGTGGAGGAAACATGGCCAAAGGCCCTAGGTGGAAACAGGGACAGGCCATGCATATGAGGCAAAGGTCACAACAACAGCCTGTTCTCACATAACTCCCTCCCTGCACTCCATGTCTAGGATCTACCAAGAATCGTGAGCATGACGCTGAGGTTGCACGCAGACCCTGGGAAGCAGAAAGCTGAAGACAAAAGTGCAGGCCTGGGGGTGGGGATTCCCAGATAATCCGGCTCTGAGTTCTCTGAAAGCCCAGGGACCAGAATGGATGCAATCTGCAGAAAGGGTTCCCAGGGAAGCATGGAGGCCACCTGGCATCTGGCCACAGGCCCTCAGGCCCTCCATTGTGACAGCAGCTAAAAAGGTTGGCGCCAGCGCAAGGCACCAGGATGCACGCAGGGCATGGGTGAGGGGGACCCTTGACCTGCCTTACCTGTCCGCTGAGCACAGCCCAGGCTAGGGCAGCGGGTGGTTCAGAATTGGCAAGGCAGGAGAAAGGGCCATGGTGGGACCTCTGTGCCTGGACCCCTCCCCTGGCTATCAAGGGACTGGTGGCCTCCCATGCTCCACCAGGCTCCCACATGCCCCACTGCCTCCTTGCTCTCGCCTGGAACTCCAGCCTTACCTGGATTGTCACAGGCCCCAACTGCTCCTGTGCCGTTGGTATGGGATGCTGAGTTTCTGGCCTAAGTGTCTCCAGTTTCTTGCCAGAGGATAGGCTGCTAGAGGAGGGCTCATTTAGAGTTCGGTCTCTAGTGTTCCCTTTTCTTTGGATTTCTTGTGCTTTCTTCCTGACCAAGCACCTTCATCACCACTTAGAACATTCCCATCTTCTCACTCCCTTCCGTTTCTGATGGCTACAGGATAGAGGCTCAGATGGCCCTGCTCCCTGTCTCCTAGTTGGGCAAGGCCCCAGTGCTCTGTCCAGCATTTGAGCAGTCTGGGCTGGTTGGCAGGCAGGGACATGGAATCTTATGGATTCCTGACATAAAGCCCTGTGCAATACAATCAAGGTGGCAACTGCCCAACCTAGCCTGAAGAGTGGGTTAGACTTCCTTCTGCCTGAGAGGAACAAGAGTCACCAGGTTTCCTCAGTGCATAGAGCATGGAGCATGTGAAGGATTGTACCCAACACCTGCATGACCCTCAGTGCTCACTGTCCTTTCCTTCATTGCAGGTGGCTCCTGCGCCTGCTCTGGCTCCTGCACGTGCAAAGTGTGCAGATGCACATCCTGCAAGGAGAGTCAGTGGGGGACTTTCATGGGAGCCTGGGACCAGGCTGAGATTGGAGGAGGCCTGGAGCTGGCTCTGAGTCTGTGCACTGGGAAACAGAGAATAGTTCTAGGTTCCTATGTTTCTGTAGGTCTTCTTCTGCCTCCCAATCTTCCCTGTCCTAGGCTCAGTTAAGCCTTGGCAGGTTTTTCGCAGAAAGACTCTCATCCTAAATTTCACCAGTTGTCTCCTGACAGAGATGAGCCATCATGAACTCAAAGGGTCCTCTGGGACTGGGAGCGGGCTTGTGCCAGGCCTCCGTGGGGCAGGGAGGTGCCTGGTCAAGTTTGTTCTGACCTCCCACTCTCCTGTTTCTTCCCAAACTGCTGCTCCTACTGCCCCATGGGCTGTGCCAAGTGTGTCCATGGCTGTGTCTACAAAGATGCATTGGAATAGTGTAGCTGTTGCGCCTGATGTCGGGAGACCCAGACACCAGGTAGAGATGGAGCAACTTGTATACACCTGGATTTTTTTTTTACATGCAGCTCTGACCCATTTGCTACATTCCCTGTTCCATGAAAAAAGTGAATAATAATAAACATTGACTTGATTCTGACTCTGATTTCATTTGTATGTCTAAAATTGAGGGACTGAGGTGGGTGATTGGACTGGGAGTGCAGATACCTGGGCTCTAATGGAAATGTTCACCCTGACAACCTGAGTGCTCTCAGGAAGTCAGGCTGCTCACTGAGATTCATCTTCTGCAAATTGGAAGAGCAGTATTCTAGAACACTGGGGGGAGGGAGGGACATCGAGGAAACTCTCTGTCACTTGGCAAATGTGACATAGATATTCATCCATCCCTCATTTGTATTCTCTGATTTCCCGGCCCAACTTCAGTTCCTCAACAGATTTTAGGCTTCAAGTGACAACAAGAGGTAAAATCAAACTTCTCAGTTGCTTGAATCCTACAAGGGGCTTCTCTGACTCCAAGGTGGAGGATTAGTACTATTTTCCATTTATTCCAAATCTAGACTTTGATAAATAAAATAACATTAATGATGGAGATCATGATATCAAAGAACAAATGATAAACCACTTGTTACATTTAACCAGAAAATGTCTATAAATATAGACAACTAACTGGAAATTGAAGTTTTGGGATCTCTGTTCATATGTTCATGAATCATGTGGATGGCAAACTGGAAACAGCAGACTGATCCCAGTGTGTGGACACATATCTTGAGCAGCACAGGTGAATCCCCACAGGGAACCCTTGGTCTTGGCTTGCCCAGTGCCCCAGAGAGGACGCTCTCTGACCCCTAGGAACTTCTGTTATGACTTGGCTTGGATTTTTGGAAATTCCTCCCAAGGAAACTGCTAAATTTTTTCTCCTTCAAATTCTTGCCTTGACCAACTCAAATCAGTAAAGTGTCTAGGGTATTTAAGAGAATTGCCCAGCACTTTCCTGGCTAGAGGTATGAATTGGATTGAATCCTTGAAGTGCTTCATTTCTGTGCATGCAGGGGTCAAGGCAGATTCTGCAGTTTATAGGGTGTGGAGATATTCACTAGAAAAACAGGAAGCCCAGTGTCTTGTGAATAATGACAACGTTTGCTTATGTGGAGGCATTTCTAGGTGATGTTCAAAGAGAAAGAGGAGTCCTTGCCTGCAGGAGGTCTGTGTGAAGAGAGGGTTTTGGAAGCAGCCAGTGCCAAGGGCATGGGTTTTGGTGTCACACAGTCCTGGAGCATGCCCAAATAACCACTTAATGACTGTGTGCCTGGACTAATGGCTGAACCTCTATGAGCCTCCATTTCCTCCTTTTTACAAAGGAGCTTATATCTCTGTGTAGGATTTTATGTGGTATTGGCCTGGCAATTGGATAGGGCTTAATAAACAGTGGCGTTATGCTTACGTGATCCACATGAAATTTCGGGGGGAGGAAATCTTTTCAGCTCCCATTAGCCTCCTCCATAAAGGTCCATATGCATGGAGGTATTACTTTGGATTTGAAGTCTGGAATCTTGTGGATCTGCTCTCAGGGCATGTGAATGATCTCTTGCGCAAAACTCTACAGGAAAGACACTTAGCCATCATTTGGACTCAGAAAATGTTTTCTTCCTCTGCAAGTCCTTTGATCTTCACACAAAGCAGAGAGACGGCGAATGTGCAAGGCCAACAAGGTTGTCCTGCTTCCAGAGAATTTAATGACCTGCCCAAAGCACACACTCAGAAGTCAAGGTCTGAATGAACGTTTGGAGGGACAGGGAGGTGCCTGGTCAACTCTGTTGTGATCTCTCTTTCTCCCCTTTCTTCCCAGGCTGCAGCTCCAGCTGACCCATGGGCTATGCCAAGTGTGTCCAGGGCTGCATGTGTGAAGAGGGGCATCTGAAAAGGGCAGCTGCTGCATCAGATGTCAGGAGAACCTGATTCCAGGCGTACAATCGTGGATTGTTTCTTTAATACAACCCTGACCTTTTCACCACACTTATTTTTCTGTACAAATGTGGATTATAATAAAAGTTCTTTTGACTTGATTATGACTCTGATTT